AAATACGAAATAAAAAGTGAACAGCCCAATTAAACAATGGTGTACCTATTTCCGGACTGGGGAGAATAATAATAGTTCACAGAACAATGGGATTTTACACATCTTTCCTCTTAATCAGAGCTAGTGTATACCTAAATGTATAGTTATAGGTAGATTTAAAATCTAAACAATTATTATAGTTTAAAATAAAATAAAATGTTATGTTTGTTACTGTTAAATTTAATTACATATTCCACAACTCACGCCATGTTAAAAAAAATCCCAAATATATATATATATCTTTTTATTATCACTTTTTTCTCTTAGATTGCCTATTAAGTATTATTAAAACAGCATAAAACTGAACACGACAAATACCTATAGTATTGGTGTAAAATTTCTCACATGAAATTGAATGGAATTCAGTTTTACAAGTAAAGCTGTGCTAAGGAGAGAGGGGAATGGGACAAGTGCTCTAGGCTCTAGAGAGTCAAAAGTTGTAACATTTTTAAGGGTGACAAAAAAGTTAGTACTTTCCACTTTTTCCACTAGTTCATTCTTTAATTTCGTCACAGTAATAAATATTGAAAATATATAGTATAAAACTAAATATTTTGCCATGTAAATATTTCATCAATGAAAAACGTGTAATTTATGGTTACGGACTCGATACACGTACGATGTACCTATTGTTAATAGCCAGATGGTAGAGAGGATATGGTGACTGTAGGAAGTGTGGAACGTGTATTCCGATAAACGTAAAATAAAATATGCTATTTTTAAATATTTTAGCGAAAATATAGTATTATTGAAAATAGATACAATAATAAAATAATATTATGCTTATATTATGGGATCACTATAATAATTCATACTTCATAGTATTTAAACACTCGGTGTTCAAAAACAACGAAAACACGTTAACGAATCAATATTGTTATTTTAATATAAGTTTATTTAAATTGAATTTATTTTATTTGAGTTTTTATTCGTATTTCGTATAATTAAATTTTTTAAATGTCCGAGACAAATAAACGGAAATGTTAAGTGGTTTTTAGTACTCGACAATTTCAAAAGCAAAAAAATAGAAAAAGAAGAAAATTTGGTATTTGATTAAATAAACTGCAAAATTAGATAGGTAGGTACTTATTCAAAATAAAGATAAGAGAAAATACTTACAAAATGTCGCAAATATTATTCTTAATGTATTTTCACAAATACCTAAATTGTATTATCGTGTTGTAAATTTGTTAATTTCTAATCCAGATGAATATTGATAATTATACTCAATAGCAGTCCATTCCCATTGGCGACAAGTGTGTTTACGGGTAATGCTATAGCAAAATTTGAATCTTTATTTTAGATTATCATTTATAAAGGTAGGTACCTACATCATTTTGTAGATACTTTGGCTTAAAATAAAAAACAATTTGAATTTTATTTTTTCTTTAAATATGATGCACCCAATTTTAAAATTAAATCTTCAGGCAAAAAAATTTAATTTTTTATCAGCTGTTTCATTAATCACTTCATTGAAAACCACTTTCCAAAACTTTCGGTCTCATGACTATTTTTAATAATAATTTATATGAAAAAATAAACTGTGTACTTTAAAAACAAAATAATAATAATTTTTCACAACTCCGGAAAAATGAAAGTATCGTATTTGTTGAAAAGTAAAAATAATACACTTCATGAAACTAAAAAACAGGAAATCAAAGTGTAACTTTTTAATACAGCACTTGACAAAAATTATTATTTTAATTAAATTTAAGACATAACAAGTTTGATAATAAAATGTAAAATATAAAATTAATATTATTTAATTTGATTTGATTTAACCTAATCAAATTCATGATGAAATTAAAATAATAGTTATGCCTACTTTGTATAAGTTGATAGAAAAAATGAAGAAAATCAAAATAAAATAAAATATGTCAAGAATATAGACTCCAACAATTTTAAAACTATAAATATGAAAAAAAAAACGATTACAAAATAAGTTTAAAATAATTTTAGATTTATGTGTAATTAATTCAAAATGAAACCATGATAAAAACTCAAGTCAAAATAATAGAATAAATAAAATCAATAGTATGGTTACCAGTCGGCACTCACCAATAATGTCGAAATTGTAAGTAGAAAATAAAATTATTAACAAAAAATAAATTAAGGTATAGAAATGAATGGTATAAGTAAATTTTCTTGGTAGGAAACTGAAACAAAACAAAAAAATAATCGTACCTACTACCAAACGCACTTACGTATAACTTCGTTAAAAAAAAAAGGTACTATAATTAATTGTTTGAAAAAAATAATGGGATGATAACTTAGTAATAATAATTCGTAAAATATTATAACTGGGTTATATTTGTAACATTGTAACCCAGACAATGTGATAACGTTGACGATAGGTACGTAACAATATTATTATTATTAAGTATTATTCAATAGAAGAAAAAATATTTTTGTCTTATAAATCTAGGTTTAATGTATTACACACTTTCTACATTTTAGAAAATTTAAATACTTGTATTGTTGATATATTTAGGAGGAAAATGATATTCATTGCCCCCCCGAAAAAGTTTTAGAAAACACATGTGTACCCTCCCATTTGCATCTATACAATTACGCAACTGGACTAAATATATACATACATTAATACAAATCCAGCTGAATCCTCTTATTTTTGAAAAAAATTAAAAGACAATATTTATGTGTGTTAGTGATTCACAAGAAAGCTTTTCACACTCATGGTTCTGATATTTGGTACCACCCTATATGGCTACATACTACATAGGTACCCCCATATTCAAGGTTGTATACCTCTAAGTTAGTTTTTTAATTTTTGCTCATGAAAAACGAATATATTTATTAATATATAAGTGAATATTTTTTTTTAAATTTATTTTCAAGACATTTCATAATTTAATATGAATATCAAAAATATGTACCTATCTATAATAATGATTATATCTTACTCTCTGTAAGCTATGTCTAGGTACTTGTGATGGGACTGTGGAAGTAAGAAATCTTAAATGACTAGAAAATATAATATAACATATTGTAATAGGAATTTATAGTTAAAAAATAATAAGAAAATAAATATTTAACATACAATATTATTTTTAATTTTTAATTTATAATAAATATAAATTATTAATATACCTTGTAAAAAATTTCCAAGCCTTTTACATTGTAAAATAAACACGTTTTTTATCGACTTAAACCCATAAAATAAATTTTACTGAAAGGTAATAATTGGCACAAGTATTATTTTTAGTTGTAAATTTTCCTTAAATCGATTTCAAAAAAACTGAAAGTTTGGTACGTGTTAATAATACGAGTGTCGTCTAGCCTCACCTATATCAAATAAAAACCAATTAAATGACTTAATAAAATTATTTGTATAAATTGACAATTTACTATACAGACATATTAAATTTAATTTTAACACATGTTTGTATCAATCGTGACATTACCTATAAATTTCACTTTTAAAGTTTATTTATTACATTTATAGCCGATAAAATATTCTCTTTCAGTTTAAGGCAAAATTCTAAAACTCATACTATATTAAATTTAAAGAATTTTTATTTGTTTCAGAAGTCACTCATTTTATATTTTTATTTTGTTAAAATATAGTTATAATTTTTATTACTGTTCATGTTTCTTTGATTGTAATTTTTGTTGAATATTTTATTACTTTTTTTTTTAAGGGTATATGACCAATGAACTTATAATAAATATAAAGGTAAATAAATGAATAAATGTATAAATAAATTACACTTAGAGAAATTATGTAAACGCCAAACCTCTAACCTACTCTCTCATTCAGTTGTTCATACATAACTTATTAAGCTAATACTTAAATGCCAAGCTAATAATTTAAAAACTGAATTTCCAAGATATATAAAATAAATTAACGAATTCAAATTAAAAGTTAGGTAAGGTCCAAATTATTAGGGAGAAGTTTTAATATTCTAAAAAACAAGTTCTTGAATATTATTGTAAACATAATGTTAAATAATAATTATTAAATGATGCAAGTTGTAAATAAAACAATCTGTCTATAAATACTAGTGTCTCATATAATTATATATCAGCACGTAAGAAAAATTTAGTTAGTTAAGCTGTTATGCAGCTGGCAGCCGTGGAAGCTTTTGATTGAAGTAAATAGATAAAAATATAAGTAAGAAATTAATAAGTAGTCACAAAATAAATACATTTATTTAAGTTTTTTTTTCTTTTTAGAAATGTAATTTATGGTACATTTTTATAAAATTTTATCCATTCTTATAAAATGTAAAAAAAATGTAAGTAATTAAAGTTTAAAAAATAATTTTAAAATTTATTGATATATCACATTCATATACAATACAAATTTAATACTTAAAAAGCAATTTTTAGAAACATTTATAAAAAATAAAATGTATATTTAAATTCACTCTCAAATAATTAAAAAATATAAATCAAAGTATAAAATTTAACTTTGGACTAAAAGTTTTATCATTAAACATATGGCCATACAGTATGGAATTGAGTAGTCTATAATTAGTGATGAGATGTTCCAAGTGATGTATGAATACTCAAATATTAATAGAGCATTTTTGATGACATAATTAAAAATAATCTGGCACACAATAATCATAAAGACATAAGAATTATTTGATTGTTTTATAAAAGTATAAAAATATTTACATATTATAAATAATAATATATTAGACAGCCAGTTTCATTTGTAACATTATTTTTTAATTAATTTAAGTGCTACTTTAGTAGAATATTTATATGTTTCAGTGTACAGAAATTTTTACTTTTCGATGCATGGTCTTCTTAGTTTTAGTATTACTAAGATATACATAAAAAAAACTGATATAAAATTATATTATTTAAATATAAATAATTTTAGTATTCATTTTACAATAATAACAATTGAATTAAAAATGGAAATTTTACATTATAATGAACTCATAATATTCTTAGATTGACTGACAGATATTTTGTTCAAAATAAGATACAGTTAAATAAAATATAAAACACAATTAGTGAACTTAAGAACTTAAGTATCATTAAAAGACATATATTAAAACTTAAATGTACGTATATTTTACATAAATAAGGTGGTAACAGGCCATAATATTAAATTAAATTAACAATTTCAATTAACTACTTAGCTTCATGGTAAAATGACTCTCTTGATACAAATAACAATTTTTGCAAAAATGGTATTAAAACTAAAATATTGAATGAGACAAAGTAAAATGTCAAATATTTGTAAGTAATATCTATCAAAGGAATATGCCTCTTCAGTACATCGTCAAATATTTTCATACCACTTTTTATTAAAATTTTATCAATAACACAAAGAAAGTACTTAATAATTAAAAATAACAAAATTATGCAACCATAACCCAAACCACTTCTGATCACAATCACACCTAAAAAAAAATAAAAATTATTTTTATAAAATTATATATTTTAAATCTCTATTAATATGTTTGTTATTATAATGAAAAATTAATTGCATTTTTCTCCATAAAATTACTTTGGAAATAATTGATATCAAGATTGATGATCGTATTAGTTATTTTGTTGAAAATTTTTTTAGAAAATAAACATTATTAATAAAAAACCATATAAACATCATAATATAAAAACATTTAAATATTATTATAAACAATTAGAAAAATATTGATACTTAAATTAAAGAATTGACTAAAATAAATAGATATTATTTCTTTAAATTTTTCCTCAAAAATATTGTTTATTAATGTGATATATACAATATTACACAGTTTTTTTAAATTTAAATTAGCAGTTCAAACAAAGAAAATAAATAAAAACTTTAAAACTATATACACATCTATTTTATATTTTCAATATAAGGGCTTACCTAAATCATTAATTGAAGGCCAACTTATAGAATTATTTATTGGGTTCATAACACGAATATCATCCTGTATACCTAATTTGACAATCAGCCAACCTCCAGTCAATAAACCTGCACAAGTTCCTAAAATTAGAGTTGTATCACCCCTGAAAAACAAACATAAATTCCAATTTAAAACAACATAATTACATATACAACAATTATGGAGGAATTGATATAATATATTTATTGAATTATCATTACAATTTATAAAAAATATTATTTATTTTTAAATTTAACTAGTATATTACTTAATTAACACTTATTTATATGTAGTTACATATTAATGTATACAATTTTTTTGTTCAAAAACTAATTAATTTAAATAAATATGTGTACGTATAGTTATCATTTATTTATATGTCCAGACTATAAAGTAAAAATTCTACAGTGTACACTATTTACTAAACAAATTCAATTACATTTATTTCACATAATATGTAAAGAAATAATCAAGTTGTAATAATTTCTTTTAGAAACCAAATTATATTTAAATTTAAATTTATACCCATAATAATGGTTTATCTTTGAACTAGCCAAAAACAATTTTTAATTAAATGTCTCTTACTAGCATAATCTATTTTGGACACCAATACATGATTTTATTTCAAAAACCAAGTTTCTTGAACATTTTTAAGTGTTTTTTGTTCTATCATGAATACAATGTAGTTAATACATTAAGCAGAAAAAATATATTATAAACTTTTAGATCATTCTTCATTTATATGGAAAAAAAAAGTAATAAAAATAAGTAAAATAAACTAGTTAAAAAAAAAAAACCATTATAATATACCAGAAAATTCCTCGTCTTGTTCAGAACCTTAAAGACATTAATAATTTATTTTAAATATAATTTACTTGGTAGGAGTCCACTGATCACTAGTTGGATAAATGAGTATTAAGCTCACAGTAACAACAATAAATATCAATGGTGTCCAATTACTATACATAAGATAACGATCTAATACATCAGCCAATGGTAAAAATGGAATCAACAAAACAATAGCTAATAGCAGGCCAGCAATCACATCCTAGAATAAAAATAGATAACATTTTTAAAACATTTTAATATTTATACAAATATTTAGGTATTTTAAGTTATTTTATTATATTTTAATGGTTTTTCTAAAATTTGCAGTGAATAATATTATTCAGAATTAGTAAAATGTTTTGGTATGTATGTTATTATCTCAATTACATGCAGTGTTTAAGAATTTATCAGACTATTATTGTTTTTACATATTTGTCAACTTGAACGTATTAAAAAAATAAATATATATAATTCAATTCAATAAAAATTAATATTATATTGAGAGCATAAATATATACAAAAATCATAAAAAAAAAAAAAAATAGCATGTCATCAATTTATTTCATTACAATACTTGATATAACTACTATGTTTTTGTGTACTAAAATAAATATTTTATACTTTTAAAACAAAATTGAATAATTTTTGAAATTAGTAGGATTATAGCAAAATATACATTCTGAATAATAATATTATACTCTAACAAGCAAGAGAACATACTGCCATCTGATAAAACTTGGTTCTTCTGCGCATCACCACTAACCTAACCTAACCAATACCCTTCTACAGAAGAATCAGTTTATATGTCGACCTTGTGCCAATATATAGCATTGTTTATTTTTTATTTTTAGGTATATGTACCTCTATTTTATACATGAGTAACCTCAGACGACAGAATTTTACACCCTAATCAATACTAATTAGTGAATAACCTATAAATGGACTAAAAACTAATAAAAATTTAAAAAACTACAATAAAAATAAAAATTATTATAATAATCATCAAATAGTTTATTTATTTTAATTTATTTGTATGATAAATTTTTAATTTATAATAATTTTATAAATGTATAATATAACTAACTACATTAGTTCATGCTTGTATCAAAAAATTCATTTCAATATAGATGATTTTTTTATCAAACAACATTCATTATTTCAAAATCTATTAACGTTTTTAAAATATTTTTTTCCAAATAATTTCCAGTTAAAACAAAACAATATTTTCTTAAATTATATTTTTTTCATTACAATTGTTTAAGTTTATTATTTTTTTGAAAGTACATACCACATGAAATACATTTTAAAATTCATATTCTAAAACGGAGTATTTTTTGAAGTATTTTAATACATAAAAATCTAAATTTGGATAAGTATTTTATGAGTTATAAATATTACATCTGCAGAGTAATAAATCGTTATTTGGCGAAGTATCTCTAAACCACTTAACTTAAGTTATAACTCATTAACTACTATCTATTTAGATAAATATTCTACTTCAAAAATTGAATTTTAAATTTATATTTTCATTCAAAAAAGTAAAAAAGTAAAAAGTTAAAAAAAAAAAAATAATGATGTATAAGTAAAGGTACAATTATTACTCATTTAGATATTAAGTAATTTGGAAATAATAAGAAGTATTTAATTTATAAATAATAAATGATGCAAGTTTATGTATTTTTTATTTAAAAATAACTATTTCAATATCCATATTATTCTACTCTAAAAATATATTCTTTAATGGATAATATAATATTTTTGACTGTTAATAAATGCCATATAATTAGAAACCATATTATCAAAAAATATGTACTTAATAAATTCCAAACACACCACAATGTTAAATTATTCTATCATTAGTATATTTATATTTTATATCATATAAATATGTACCATAGCATTAAAATGGTTTTTGATCTACCCACAGATATTTGAATTTTTATTAATAATTAAATAATTTAAACTGCCAATAAGGAAATAAGTATTTTTAGATTACAAGCTGTTTTTAATACAATTGTATAAACATATTACATAATAACTAATAAGATGAGGCTAATATATTCTCTACATAAATTATACTAAAAAAATTCATTAAAACTTTACAGAGAATCTTTTTAATATATACAATAAATTTTAATTTTAATAATAAAATTGCTTTTAAAATGCAAGTTTTCTTCTTTATAAGTTTTAAGAAAAAGAAAACAATCAACATTGATTGTTTAGTTTTAACAGGAAATTGGATTATATTAAACCTTGAAGATCATTGAATCAATTCTTTTGTGATTTAAACAATGATTGTTTATGTAACATTAAAAATAGATAAGATAGGATATGTTATTTTTTTAATATAAAACAATTTTAAATAAATAACTCACCAAAACTGTGTGCATACCCAAGTATAAACGACTAAGCGAAATTAACATGCACCATAGCAATACTATTGTGATACCAATGTTGTGGTCAATCTAAAAAAGTTTTAAAAATAAAAAATTATGAAATCATGTACCTTAGTTTTAATATTTTTTTTTTTTAATTAAGTACTTGATATCGATTTGAAATGTAATAGAAAACAGAGAAAGGTATTGCAATACTAATCATAGCATGAGTTGAAGGCATTCCATATTCAATAGACCATTTTGTTTGCAGTCTAATGACTGGGGGACATTGAGGTCTCGGCCACTGTACTATGTCTTTAATGGATTGGCCTGAACAGAAGTTAACATGAAAATAATGTTGTTATAAATCTCATATAAAAATTAACAACAATCATTATTACCAATGTACATAACGACCGCCCAGATGAGCACCATTTTCCTAGCTACTGCCGAGTCAATGTTCCATACCAAAAATGGTATGATGATAGCATATCCGATTTCGTCACCCAGGTATGTGCCGAACAAAAACAAGTAATACCAAAACTTATTGGTAACATGATCGATTTCGTTTAACTTCCGCGCCGTATTACTGTTGTTGGTCTTGGTCTCGTCATTTTCCAGCGACGGAATGGTAACACCATTATCCGACGGATCGTACCGCATCACTCCAAAAGACCTTTGAAAACGGGCGACTAGTTCCGGGTCCTTCAGGTAATCAACGCAATCCTTGACAGTGTCCATGCCTGAGCCACCGACTTCCACACGTGATAATGAAATGTTCTTGGGCTTTGCGCGAGTATACAATATAGGTAGATAATTTATTGATACGTAAAACGTTAACGGAAAAAAAAACAACAAAACAAACCCGAACAAAGCAATCGAGCGACGATAACGGACAAATCTGAGCGGGTTCAAAGACTATAAGAATAAAATAAATAATAATCAAATGACAGACTCTACGACACTTCCGACATCGTGCACGCGACAGCGGCCGAACGCAAACTGAACGGTGTACCGTACCGTGTACATGCAATAGCAACAGCCATTCGAATAATTTATGTAAATCACATTCTTCGATTTAACAAATTAAATATTATATTCATCGAACACGGCGGTCTTCAACACCGATTCCACAAATGGCATACTGAACAGTAGTCAGTAATCACGGATGGGCGACAAGCAGAAACTAATAACTATGAAGTAATAAAAACTCCGACCTACCTATTCGTTTTTTTTTTTTTCAAACCGTTCGACGGTGATAAATGATAATTCAAACGACGTCGGTTGGTGATGGGGAACGGGACGGCCAGACGGCATCGATATAATTTTGATAAGTGATAACACTGTATCATCACAAAACGAATTATTATGTCATAGACGTTTGTAACTAAATTTAGTATTGACCTTTAAACCATTGATTAAACATGTTTAAACAACGTTTAATCTTTGTGAAACTAAATTACACAAAATTGAAAATACAACAATCAGATAAAATTCAAACCTAGATTTATCAATTTAACATGTCTAATTGTTATTGATGGTTCAAATAAGTTATAGGTCTTTCCTTTTTCCAGCAAGTCATTCTAGACCAGTACTTACCTAGATTATAGAACGCTAAAACGCTAATCGTAATTTTATAATTATATATACTTATTGAAAAAGGTAATCAAATTAATAAAAATAATTATCTCAAGTAAAGTTAAATAAATACGAGATCTTTAAGTTAAAATTTAATAATTAACAAATAATAAATTTGACTCGCCAAGTTTTAAGTTAATATGAAAAAAAATATTAACTTAGTAATAACTAATAAAGTCAATTTTTATTAGTACCTACATGAATCACAAAAAGTTTTATCTATAGGTACTTTTATACTATTATTTTAATAATTTTTATTATATAATTGCTATTATTGAAGTATTATAAAAAAAAATAAATAAACTATATTTTTATTTAAAAGTTAAAACTATTATATTATATTGATTAATTTAATACTGCATACGACACAACCTACCAGACAAAAAAATACAAACGCGTGATAGCCGATGCACAAACATTAAACGTTATAATATATTTTACAAAAACTTTAATGCGTGCCATATATTTATAATATACAATATGCCAATATGCATGGACGTTATTTAAATTTATTATTTATATAGATGTAGTTCATAATATTTCATGTTTATATATTATTATTTATTTATATGCTGTATGCACGACAAAAGCTACAGTATTTTGTGACTTGTGCGCTCTTCTAAAGTAGGTACTTTTTAGATGCTTTACCATAAATTAAAAATATGAATAGCCAAATAATTTAAAGTTGTTATTATTTATTTATTTATTTTTTAACATTGTGCAATATAATGTCTATAGTTTTTAAAATATTTAGAAGTTTGTATATACAAGTAGATAGGTTTGATTAAATTTATAAAAAAATACAATAATTAAATTACTTAAAGCGCATATAAAAAAATTAATAGTATTGTAAAAATAATTAATTAATCTATATAGCAATATTACTTATACTAATTGTTATCTTAACAACAAAGGTTGTATAAACTCAATAAATGCATTTAAGACTCTAATCAAGACAAAATCCTTTCAGAAAAATAAAAAAATGTTGTATTACTTTTTCAGTTTTTAAATTCTAAATGAAGTAAGCAAAAATGATAAAAATCTAATAATATAATAATTATATGTTTGTAGAAACTATTTATTTTTTTAATTACAAGTTTAGTTATTTAAATTACGAGCATGGAGCACAAACTTATATGCTCTATGTTACTCAAGTATGTTTAATAATTTTCTGTATTTTTATTTAGATAATTTTCTAAATTAGTTTTGTTATTTTTATTAATTACTTCAGATTATAGAGAACATCATAACCATAGTTTTATTCGTGACTTAGAGCAATTTGAACAATTTATTGGTTAAATTAATTAATAATTAAACAAAACTTATAACTTAAATAAGAATTCAATTTATTGTTAATTATAGATAAATTCCAATATATCCATTAAATGTAACGAAATAAACAATTATTACCTACTTTTTTTTTGTTATAAGTTATAACTCATATACAGATTTAAGTAAAAATTATATAGCAGTTAAAATTATAATAACGTGTAAATATCACCTTAATATATAAGGGTGGACATTTTAAGCCTAAATAATCCTAGAATAATTTTATTTTCAGAGTTACAGTCAAAAAACTAAAAATCGCGCGTATTTCGCAGTTTTTATTTGAATTGCTATAACTTAATCAATTTTTAACTTGAAATTTTGTGAAACTACCAAAATTCATTAAAAAAATATACGAAAAATAATTAAGTATCTAGTGATTGAAAATTAAAATAGGTGGTTGCCATCTAAGAAAAATTTATATTGTGCATGCGCATGTCTAATTACATTTCAAAAAATTCAAATACTATAAAAATATGTACTTTATGTCATAATAACCAACTAAAAAATATAATTCAAATTGTAGGACTCTATGCTGGTATATTGAGTGTTCTAAATTAGCGTTCACACACTGTATATACATCATAAATATTAAATATATAAAAATATGAAATAATATAAGTATATAATATGTATAAACTTATTAAATGAAACCTATAATAAAGCCAGTGACGAGTATCTATATCATAAATACCTATTCAATGATATCATAATTCACAATAACAATTGTACAACAATATAAAAAGTTACTATTATTTTTTTTTTAACTTTAAAATTTAAATAACTAGAAAATAATTGTTAATTTTGGTACTTGATTGTTATCGCCTCGCCATAAAGTGTACCTACCGTTATTATTCCTACAATTGACATTGTATTTAGTTCGTGATGAATGATCTATTTGAAAAAATGATAAAATTAAATTTTATATCATAATAGCTGTATTAATATGTTGCTAGCTTTCGTACCTACTTCAAACCAATATGAACAATTAATACCTGCAAACGAATATTTTTTTACCTATAATAAAGAAATAATATATAAGACCAGGCTCAATAATTGTGTTAGATTGTTGGAAAGCTTACAATAATTTGCAGCAAGCGGGATTCCCATATAATACCTATAACTTTGTTGATCCGAGCACAGGGGCGCCCAAAATATCGAGAGGTTGTGAGGTTCTGCTAAATGGGGAAATAAAAAGTGTCGAGGAACTAAATGAAATTTTCTGGAATCATATTTGGCAGAATTTATATGGAGAACATGGCTCGTGAAACAAGACGCATTTGAAACCATCTTAAAAGGCATATTTGAATTCTGGCCTTCTATTATAATTATGATCAAATACACATATATATTATACCTATATATTTATGCATTTCTTTTATTTATTTTGCTTACACATATTTTTTTTTTTTTTAATTTTTATTCATAATAAATTTTATCATTAATAATATAAATTATTTATTTATTCATTTTATTTTTCATTTTATTTATAGCGGGGTAATAACAAACAAGAGTGGCGAGGCAATACATTTTGTACAGCGTACTTGTGATGTAATAATAAATAAGTACCTTAATTTTAAATAGGTATGTTAATAGCTAAGTTATTTATTTAATTAATTTTTATGTAGGTATTTGATTTTATAAATTTAAGTGAAATAAAAAAACTAACTAATCTCTAATTTCTAAAAATCTTATAATTTATCTAAACCCCCAATAATTCAAAAGATCTGTACCCTAATTGAATATATTTTTTTGGTACCTTCAACGCGCTTATTCCGTTAGCTGTATAGTTTCTCATTACCTATAGTTACCATGACGTGTAGTGCTTTTCACGATGTACCAGGAAAGTATTTCCACTACTTCGGATTACCATCTGCACATCACTTACAGTGGCAACCACCGCTATCACACTATAACACTGTTTTCTGACGGCACTCAGGATTTGTTTTTATATTAGTACCTTTTTTTGTGCTTGTGACTCAAGAGTTAAGACCCCTTGGCAAAAATTTAATGTCGAAATTTAAGCCCACAAGCTCTTTTGTCACGACATAATGGTTCCCATAGTGAGAAAACCTATACACATTAAAATGAAAATGCAAAAATGTTTATCTTGGCATCGTAGTATTTTATTTAACATAATTATTATAATTAACAAACTGCTTTAGTTCCGTATAAAGGACAAAATGAAAATAATGGTAGGCAATAAGCATTGAACTATCGAAGAAACTATTAGAGTAATTGATATACAATTTAGCTACATGCGTAAGTACAGTACCTACAAATAAAAAACTATTTGTAGATACTCATAAAAATGAATAAATTGTTTGACAAATACGGTCATATATTAATTAAAATATATTGTAATGTAATGAAGTATGAACAGATCACGAATCGGCGACAGTAGAACGTTAGATAAGTTAGAGAGCTATGAGACATTTTTAATGGATATTGTCAGGTAGACAATTAATTTTTTTAGCTTTCCGAGTAACTAAGGGTATTCGCTTTTCGGAACACCAACAAAAATCGAAATAATTGAAAACGATGTATGATACAGATACGCATTTTACTCTTTTACTAAATGGGCGTACAGAAAATTATTACCTGAATTCGTCTTGGAGGTCAAGTACCTTTAGTTTCCGAAAAAATGACCAAATGGGCATACTAATCATACTATATTATTATTAAATAGATTATAGGCTGAATATTATATTATTATACATTAAATGATTAAATTATTTAAATTTAGCTATGAGCAAAATAAATAGCGCTATCTTGTGATTAAATTGCATTATAAATGCTTGGCGCCTGATGTATATTATTACGCAACCGGGCATACAAGGTTTCTTATCACTAATAGGTATCATCATGACTGCGTCAAGTATTCGTTCCCGCCTTCCAGAGTTTTAATTTTTGATGTTATCATAAACAAAGCGTTTCAGTCGTTTCAGAGTGCACGACTTGCCGACTATACCGCTCACTGTTTGTTTGTCGTCCTCCGGCTCTTATTGTTTTTACAGTTTTCTCTTTGTTTTTAATACTTTCGACTATTTTAGAAATTGTCCCCACCCATCGTCCTTCACGTGGACTTGGCTAAGACCATTAGTCTTGTCGCCTATTCCGATTTTGATGAATGTTACGAGATCGATCTACGGTTTCGTTTCGTAACAAAGTGTCATCATCATAGGTCATCGCTATGGCCGAACGTCTAGAAGATTTAAATCTACCCGTGACGGCGATCACTCGTATCGCCAAAGAAGTATTACCGGCCAACATCATTGTGTCGAAAGAAGCCAAGACCGCGTTGGCCAGAGCAGCATCCGTTTTCATATTGTACGTGAGCAATCAAGCTACTGCGATCGCAACCAGCAGGAACAAGAAGACCATCAGTGCCCAAGATGTACTGGAAGCGTTGTCTCAGGTCGACTTTGAATGTCTGATTGAACCATTACAGCAACTGTTGGAAGGTATGTCAATAAATTATATTATTATACGATTTACCACCATTTGCTTGTGTTAGTAAGTGATGGCTAAAAGTTTTGTTGTTGATGTTTATTAACAGTGACAATGTAAAGTATTTTAAGTTGCTTATTAAATAAATCTATATATTTAAATTTATAAATAAGAAGAGATCTTAAAGAAAAATTTTAGGTAAATCAATATATTACATTTCACTGATGGATGTGAGATGTTAATTGCAATTAAATTACTTTGATCAAGTTGTATTTGTATTTTCAATTACCAACTAATTTGCAAATTTATAGTACTAAATCTAAATAATAATAGTTTTTACCGTTAAAGATCTAATTAAGTACTTAATATATTATATATTTTTTTAAATTATTAGATTACTAGTTGTAGAAACAAATGGTATATGATGCTAAAAAAAATTAAAATAAGAGATTTAATAGGTTTTTAGAAAATATATATTTATTATAATTAAGTAAGTCATTTGAATTCTTAGTTTTTTACAATACTCATGTAATAGAAATAACATTAAACAAACTAACTTTTTAAACTTTCACTAATTATCTAATTTAAAATACAAGTATATAATAATTTATCAATACTAGTATAACATGTACTATCATAAAAAAATTGTATGTGACCTTTCTAGAAAAAAATTATATTTACCCATAAACGTATCTATTACTCTTATAATTCTCTAAATTACATTTCTTACTCTTTGGTATTTTGATCACCATTCATTACTAGAATCATAGATTAAATGACACAATAGACGCAAAACACCAATGCAATAATTTATTGCTTATTATTTTAATCTGGATTTGACTTACTACTAATGGCGCATGGTAGCAAGAGATGAATTGATTTATATTTCCAACCTCCTCCTACCATCATGTGCAACTAGCGAGTCAAATCTAAATTTAAATGAGCGATTAAAGATTGCATATTTAATCTATGCTTGAAGTAGAATGTACATTTTGCAATGTTTTATGTCACTATGATAAAAATATGGTATGTGACTTAAATCTGTTGTAGTGTTTAAGTGGTTTTGTGTAAAACATTTGTTTTATGTATAAAATTTTTGTTATTTTATTTTTTTCCTGTAGACTTCAAGTCGACAAAACAACAAAAGAAAGATACCAAAAAGCCAACGCCAAACAAAAACACAGATGATTCCGATGTGATTGATTTGGTTGATGATGATCTAGAATTATGATAATTATTATTAAGTTTTTTTTTAAATTTATTATTTTTATTATAAAATAATGCAATTTCTAGTACAATAAAAAAAAAAACAATGTATAATAATGTATTAACGTGGATTAATTAAATAACAGTAATAGTATATGAAAATATGTGTAAAAATATAATTTTATATAAGCTAAATAAATAAGTCTTTATTATTATCAAGAAATAAGTTTTATGAACACTATTAAAAGTTAATTCTGCTGTATAAATGATATAATAATAATAAGTAACCACTAGTTAATATCAATGCTAAGATTGAAAAAACCGATATTAGTAATAGTCAGGTTATATTTTTTACATCAAATTTATGTAAGATTTCAGTTCTGCACATAGGGCACAATGAAATTTGTTCTGAACACTTCCAACAGCAACATAAGTGTCCACAAGGAACAAATAAAACGTCAAACTGAAACAAAACAAAAATTAATTCAAATATGAGTTAATATTACCTTAGAAAAACTTCCAAAATATATCTCCAAACTAAGAATTAAACTAGTTATTTACTTTCTAAATGATCATTTAAATAACTATTTATTATATTTATTATTAAATCTAAATTATTTATTTATTAAGTTTAATATTGAAATACACACAAATGTATGTATTGTTAATGAAAAGTTTCTGCGATGAATATTGTATTTGTAAAATTCCTATCATACTAGTTACCTTTATTATTTTATTAACATTTGTGGGTGGTTTTAATATAAAATACTAATACATTTTTTAAATGTATTTAATCTCAAGATTTAAATTACTAAGTAAATATTTAATTATTACAATGGATATATTGATTTTTCAATGTATTATATTTTTATTTTTGTATGTGCATCGTTTAAAGTGTAAAAAAAAAAACTGATCTTCAACTTTAAGGGTAATTTAAAGCAACTTGGTGGTCAGAATTTGATCTTGTTAGTACTTTTAGGAGATTAAAAATGAGAATTCTTAATACTTAATGATAAAATTAATAATAAACGAAAATGCTTTGCAATGACTAAATACACTCGACACTTACTAGCTACTATACACCATAGTGGTTACCTTAATTTTTTCTAAATGTTATTTACACTTAGTGATATGTCCAATTATATTTTATAAATTTACTTATAATCTTACATAATCTCTAAAGTTAATGTATTTATTTTATACCATTTTAATTTTTCAAAACGGGCAGTGGTCCTGGCGGCAAGCCGCATAACATTTTTGTTTATTATAATAAGATTACTATTAATTTATACAATCATTCACAATTTGTGAATAATAATAGCATAAAATATTACTTTTGTTTCCATGCAGACAATACACTCAAATTCCTCTAAAAATGGAGCTGATGAAGGAAACTCATTTTCGATTGGAGCAGACGGCATAGGAAAATGATTTAATGTATTTATTAATATTTCTTGATCATCACAGCTATTAACGCCCAACTAATAAATAAAATAAACACATTTATAAGAGATACTGAGAATATAAATAAATAATATCAATTATACTTTTGCAAGGTATTCTTTTGTCAATGGTAATTTCAGATCGTTTTCCAAAATAAATAGCAAAAGATGACCACCACCAGCTGTACACACTCTATGTAATAATGTTGGGTTAATAGTGTTCTTGGAAAATGTTAACTCGGACGGCAAGTCATCAACCAATTTTGAATACTGTAATAACCATTTTGTAGTAGTTTCCTAAAAACAATGATAATGAATATAATTTATTTAATTTTTATCAAAAACAAAACTTAGTTTAATTGTTTTTAAATCTATATATAAATTATACTTATAGAGTAAGCAATTTAAAAATTTTTTTAGATGGAAAAAATTCATAAAAAAAATAATATGTAATTACTAATTACCTAAGTTAATTAAGGGATTTAATTGCAAGAAATATTTTAATTTAAAACTATTATGAATTACAATTTTTTAGTAATAAAGGAAACTCAAACATTTTTTAGTGATTTGATTTATCAATTTAAAATATTAGCAAATTGATAAAAAATATAACACATTGCAATATATATTTTCTATGGATTTTAAAAGCTATAATGTAAATTGTATATATATATTATATATAAATAAATATTTAATTATTGAGTGATAAAGAATAATAACTGACAGTGAAAATTATTAGTATGTGCACATTTAAATTGACTAAATTATACTAATAATTGACTTTTTAATATAACCTTTTTTTTTTAAATTTATAATAGTAATATACTCCTATTCCATTCAAAGTTAAGTAAATTCCTGATATTATCCATCCAGTAAGTTATTTAAATATTAAACTAATAATATTATATATCTTTAAATTATTTTAAACATACTTACAATTTCAACATTTTGAGCTTCTAATTCTTGAATTAGATATTTTTGGTTTTGTTTTTTTTTATCAATAAAATCTACAAGCAATTTCGTAATTGTGATTCTTTCATCGCATAAATTATTCTATTACAAAAATAATTAATTCACAATAAAAAAATTATTTTTAAAGGAAATATTAATGGATGGTTGATCATACTATTTGCTTTTTGAGCTGAGAGTTTTGCTTTTGTAATTCAACAGCAGTTAAATATTTGAGTTGATTATACATGAATTTCAAATGTTCTTTTAGAACTTGCTGATAACAATTGCTTGTATTGAGAAGTTTAGTTAATTTTTCCATTTTAAATGAATCTTCATTTGACAATTTATTTACAAGTAGACAACGTTGCATATTTACTTTATCAATTATTTGTTCAACTTTTAATGTAAATTCATTATCAATTCTGTAAAATAAAAATAAAAGTATATTAAATAAATAATCTTCATAAATAGAAGATAGTTAATATTATAGTTAATTAGAACTTGGTTTAGTCACTACTAAAAATGTTTAAATATAAATACTGATTAACTCTAATTAACAGAAAGCAATATCGCAAAATCCTATACTTATTTACTATTACGTGTGTGAATAGAAATTTTAAAAAGCATACACTTAACTGTTTTAATTATTATTAAAAATACTTACACTTTTAATTTTAACTTATCATCATGACTGATATGTTTAATTGAATCACATTTACTATACTTTTCATAATAATTCATTTGAAATGAACGTTTTAAATTAAGAGTATTGTTTATTAATTCTTTTGATGCTTTCTCGACTGAAAACAAAAATACATTTCTAATAAATAAAGAATAGTATAAATATTACTTTAAAATGATAATTAGTGGCATATTTAACTCAAATCATCCTGGAATTATTTTATTTTATATTTATCTTTCACTAATTGTCATTAAAATATTTTTAAACATTGTTCTAAATTATTTTTTTGGACAAATAACTCAGGAAGATAATTGGGTTAAATAACCACTAGTCAAAATAGTACCGTCTTTTAAATGATTCAAAAATTGTTTTTGTTTTAGTAGATTATCCTTTTGAATTGAAGATACTAACTGATTGGTAGATTCTTCATCAGTTAATAAAAATTGAATCATCTACGAATAAAAAAATTAAATAAATGATTTTGTGACTTTTGTAACATTTTATGTTTAAGGACCAGTAGAAAAAATAAATAAAAGAAGATTGTAAAAAATTAAAACCTATACTAAATTTATATTATATAGATATATTTTAATATACTATATAAACAATTATTAAGTATTTAATATTTATTGCATTAGTTTACAGAGAAATGAGTATCATAAAAATATGTGTAACATAATTTAAAAGTACATTTTCAAAAATGTATCTATAATAATTTTTTAAAACAGATGTTCTAAAATATATATTTATTATTATTTCTTAATTACCTTATCATTATTGATACTTTTTTGATGTAAAAGAATTTTATTTTTTTCCAATTTTTTAAAATTTTTTTCTTCATCAAGAAGATTTTGTTTTCTTAAATCCTGTTAACAATTAGGAATTCTAAAATCAATACAACTAAAAAAATAAAAATAAATTGTAATAAACCTTTTGTTTTTCTAATTTTTCTAATTTTTCCTGTAAAAAAATAAAAATAAAAATAATTATTAAAATAAAAAAATGTTTAATTACTTTGTATTGAATAGTTAATTTACCTGTAATACTAAGTCTTGATCAACCATTCTTGATAATATATTATTTGATTTATTAGTAGTGTTATTGTTATTCTTTGAAACTGTCAACAAAATAAACATTTATATAATATATTAATAGATAGTTTTAATTATTCAATATGCAATACATATATTTACTTTGTAAATCTTTTAATAATTTTATTGTAATAAAATGAGACATTAGTAATATTTAAAAAAAATATATCAATAAAATATCGCTAACTTTTCTTGCTAACTAATATATTAGTGATTAGTCATAAATGTAGAGAAGTTATTTTAAGTTTTGCTTAAAATTTATTTATATAAACATCAAACTAATGTTCTATTACTAAGTTCTTAACACAGTACTGAACTCAATAATTTAATTTCAGGTGAAGAAATATTATTCTACAAATGTATTGTATTAATAAAATATTTGTCATTAATGACTCGAATTTATATAGGTACCTACCAGATAATAATAATTAAAAAAAGAACTAGAGTAATATTTAAATAGGTTATATATACAGTGTTGGTCGAACCCTGTAAATGTAAAAAATCATTGAGTTAGTTCTCAATATAAATAAGAATATTATTTTTAAATATTATTATAAAAGCTCAAGCTCTCCGACTTTGAGTAGTCGTACAATGCAATGCCTACAGTACACATGTGGCAGATTTTATTTTATACATTTATACAATTTACACAAAGACTGTTACAGATGGAATGTTTTGTTTCAACATAATTATAATACTATACTCACATAAAGAAAAAAAACTCATATTGTCGAAAAGATGATATTCATTTCTGTAATAATTCGAGAGGGCGGTCAGAACATTAAATCTGTGGCGTAAATCACAGGAGAAAAATAAGTAAAAAATTTTAGTCCAAAAAAAATTAAAATATTTAGTGTTATACGGTATACTAATACTATTCGTTTATTTCGTTTGAACTTCCAAAATCCAAGTTGAAAACGCGCAAG